CCCCCCCGTGGGTGAGCAATTCTAACATACATAAGTGTACAAAAATAACCTTTAGAAGATTGACAGTGTTATGACTTACAATGGATTCCTCGTGTAATAGCAATACTAAATGAATTTGCTACTCTATAGCTCAATGTTCCTCAAATAGAAAGTCATGTCTTGCATATAGTATCCAGTTATATTCTGACTGTAGAGCAACTTGCAGTGCATCACAAATGCATCGCAAGTGTTTTTTCTTATGCAGTGTTGGCGTTCTTAAACTGAATGCTGCAACTAGAGAAGAGTATTGTGTTTTCTTTTGGGCATCTCAATGTGTACCTCTAATATGAGTATTCAGACCCCAATATCTGAGCCCATCATTCAAGAGGAGTTTTGCTTCTAAAGTGTGAAGAGTACCTAAATATGTGGGCTTCTAGTAGAAATAAGTGTAAATTAATCCAGCTATATATCAAAACAGTACATTTTTATGGGAATTGTATCTAGGTGTTAACATGAAAAATATTACTAGCTGTACTAATGTTTTATAAATTTTATAATGCTGCTATAGGCTTTGTCTCTTAATATTTTGGTGCCAAGTTAGAAAGTGTTTTCAAGAAATACCTTTTACAAAAGTGCAGAATTGAGTGGTTGTATAGATATGGAAGATGCTTTACACAACCTGCTGGTCCTTGAACTGAAACATAAATGAAGCCAGTGTTAGGTTCGGTGCTCTCACTGGGCAGTGTCTGGACCCAGAGAACAAACAAGGTTAGGACTGAAAAAAACTCAGTTCATGTGAGGATATGGAAATAGGACAGGGCGTGGGCTGTTGACTAGAATGGGGATGATGGCAACTTCTGCAAAGTTATAAGGTCAGGTGCCAAGACAGGTTGAAACACCACCTGTATCAGGATCAGCCGCGGCAGCTGCATGGAGTGACGTCAGCTAGAGCCAGTGGGTGAGGACAGGAGGCGGCGACGAAACTGTGTACCATCAATGAAGCCCAGGTTATAGGTCCGTTGCCGGGGCACACAGAAAAAGGAGAGCTTGGAGGGAGTGGTGCCACTGAAGGACACTCGGGTAAGTACTGTAACTGCAGCGTGAGAGGATAGATGACAGAGCTGACCTGGGCAGAGAAACAGTCACTGGGAACGTGTCGTCCTCCATCTTCGGAGCACGGAGATAGCGTGATTCCGTAGCGAGCCACAGCAGATCGAATAAATGAATATACTGAAACAGTTTTACTTCAGATAGGAGAAGGGGGGAACGGGAGGGGAAGAAAACTTTTACCTCTTGTCGAAGTGCAGGGAGCCAGGGGGAACACGGAGAAATGTATCCAACGAACTAGCGTCCGCGCTGCGTCTTCCAGATGCTTAAATATCCGAGTGGTTGATTCGTTAATGCGTAGCACCCCGGGAGCGAGCACCTGCCGAGAGAGCGAGAGAGAGAAAGAGAGGTAGCGTCGGGCAGACCTGACAGCCAGTCGGGCTATGTTTTATATTTGCTTTTTGATTGTCACATGGAGAAAGATTTGACGTCGTGAATATTTATGTTCTTGAAGAAATAAAACATGTAACCGAACACAGAAACAATAACACTTTTTCAATATTGCGTTTATGATCTCGTTTTTTATACAACCATTAAGTTCAGCCAACATGTCGTTCATGTTTTTAACATGTCGTTTCGACTTGGTCAGTTCCCCAATAATATGAAAATAGCAAAGGTTATTCCACTGTATAAATCTGGTGATAAGCACAACTTCACAAATTATAGACCGGTTTCTCTGTTGTCACAGTTTTCAAAAATTCTGGAAAAACTCTTTAATAACAGATTAGACACATTTATTGACAAACATAAAATCTTATCTGATTGCCAATATGGTTTTAGGTCGAACCGATCGACATCTTTGGCCATTACCGACCTGATGGAGGACATTACAAGTGCTATGGATGAGAAGAAATACACGGTGGGAATATTTATTGACCTAAAAAAAGCATTTGACACATTCAATCATGAGTTATTAATGGACAAGTTAGAAAAATATGGGATCAGAGGAATGGTTCTGAAATGGATTAGAAGTTA